GAGAAACTGTTTGTTGTTGTTAATAACCTCTGGTAATCTAATTAACAAAACTTGCTTTGATTGGCTATTATTTACCGGATATTCAATAATCTCAAAGGGGGCGTATTGAAAAAATATCAATAAAAGTCGCAGGCTCTATATAATAGAGCCTGTGAGCAGGCTAAGTGCCTGATGACATCAAGTTTGTATCACAGAGAGGTGGTGCTTTGATCCATTTTCGAAAGCTTAGTCAGGAAGAAGTGCAAATATTAGTTATGAAATCGGCTAAGAACTACTGTTCTCTTGACCCAATGCCAACGCCGCTGGTAATGGATTGCCTGGATACGTTACTACCAGTAATTACCCATCTTATTAATTCCTCTTTGGCTAATGGCCACTTCCCTAAGAATTGGAAAGAAGCATTGGTTAAACCACTTCTTAAGAGAGCAGGACTTGACGCTGTATTCAATAACTTACGCCCAATTAGCAATCTACAGTTCATTTCAAAACTAGCAGAACGAGCTGTATATGAGCAGACATATGATCACTTGATTTTGAATGATTTATTTCCAGAATTTCAGTCGGCTTACAGGAAGGGATATAGTACAGAGACAGCACTTTTGAAAGTGCATAATGATATCCTCCTTAGCATGGACCACCAACAGGTGACTCTACTTGTATTGCTAGATCTTATTGCGGCATTTGACACAATCGACCATGCTACCATTCTCCGCCGATTAGAAACATCATTTGGAATTGAAGGAAAGGCCCTTGAGTGGTTCTCGTCGTATTTATCCAACCGATCACAGAGGGTTGTATTTGGTGATGGTCTCTCAGACATCTCCCATGTGGTGTACCGCAAGGTTCCTGTCTCGGACTCTTACTTTTCACCATGTATGCTAGCAAGTTGTTTCAGATTATTAAAGAGCACTTGCCATCTGCGCATGCGTACGCAGACGACAGTCAACTTTATATGTCATTCAAGCCGGACAGTAAAGAATGTGAGACTAGATGTGTATCTGCAATGGAGACGTGTATAGAGGCTATCCGAGCCTGGATGATTGAGGATAAAATGAAGTTGAACGATGGCAAAACGGAATTCTTAATTATAGGATCTACGCAAATAATAACTCGAGAAGGTTCGCATTGATATGCTGTCTGTCGGAAACGTTGACATTTTTCCTGTTTCAAGTGCCAAGAATTTAGGAACAATCGTAGCCTGCATGGCAGGCGGTTCCTAAAATTGGGCAAGCCTGGGAAATACCGCCTGCTGGGTTTGGCAGTGTAATTGAATTCCCCGTACACCAGTGGACGGGAATTGATGATTGGCTGCGAGTCTGAGCCGCTGTCACTCAAAAGTGAATACACTTCATGTAAACATACGTTTGACACTTTAATGATGCATGCGTTCGCTTAATTAATAGGTGTTGTAAAACTGAACGCTTCTCGAAAGTCGAAACGCGAATTGATTGTCAAACGCGAGCAAGAGATAGCAGTTAAAGATTTACTCCTTGGAAAGAATGTTTTGGCCATTCTATGGGAAAAGCTTGATTTTTACATCGTTCTTGTTGGCGCGAGAAAATATAACGAGAATAGATACAGACGGCCGTATAGTCTTTATTGCAACGGGTTTTATAACAGGACTATTACGCCTATGCCTATTAATAGCCGCTTCACTTTCTGAACTTTTTAAGGCTTTCGTTACCACACGGCTTCGTTAGGGAGACGAGACAGTTCATATTGGCAACTGAGGTTTTTAATATACAACTGTCTATTTGTTCGAACGTACACAGGCAACGCGTTTATGTCTCGTTTGATTATGGCAATCAGTTCGCTTGCATTTCGGATATTTCGCTCACACGGTTTACAAACTTGGTCGGATAGTTCCGAGGTATAGAATTAACTTCGATTCCTAAATGAACTGAACCGGCAATTCGGCTTATTTCGGCCAAGGACAGGTTTTACCACTGTCGTAACGTTTCTTTTGCTTGCCTTAAATAAATAATTTCTCCAACAATATATAAGAATATAAGATATTTTCTCTATTGGCGTATTGCCCCGTATTTTAATTTCAAAGAACAAACGACAAGTCATTTACATTTTCCGCGCTTGCTTTTCTACCTCTTGTCGACATATTTTTATACATTTGCAATTTTGCAACCAAACAACAACATAGTTTGACAGTTTGATTATAAATATATTTAGTGTTTGCTGATTGGCTAATTGGACTCGGACAAAAAAGGGGGCGGTTATCAAATTACACTGCCAAACCCAGCAGGCGGTATTTTAGACCGCCTGCCATGCAGGCTAGAACAATCGTTGATAGTAACATGAGTCTAACTCCACATATTAATCAAATAGCTAAAGCTGCATTTTATCAACTTCATAATATAAGGAGAATTCGTAAATACCTTTCATAGATGCAACCAAGATTCTAGTACACGCTTTTGTTACAAGTAGGATAGACTATTGTAATAGTCTCCTTTATGGGTTATCTGCTAAGTCGCTGACTAAGTTACAGCGTGTCCAGAATGCAGCAGCAAGGTTAATAACAAATACACCTAAGTTTTCTCATATCACTCCTGTGCTGCATTCCCTCCACTGGTTGCCGGTTAAACAACAAAGTTCCAATGTTTGCCGACGACAGTAATACTGCTATAAAATCAAAAACAGTCCACACGACTCTAATCTCCTCCAATCAGATCTTCAAGCCCTGTGTCTTTGGTCTTCTACTTCGAAGTTAAAGTTCAACTTGAAGAAATGTTCTGGAATAAGATTTTCGCGGAAACGTTGTATTGAGTCTCCCGATTACTTTTTATACTCCAGTCAGATCTCTTTTCAATCAACTCAAAAGGATCTTGGTATACCTAAAATGGTCGCCTCATATTTCCAACATTGTTTCCAAAGCAAATCGTATGCTTGGATTTCTACGACGTAACTGCACATATTTAACTGATATAAATTGTCGACGCTCTCTCTATTTGACACTTGTTCGTACACACCTGTGTTATGGCAGTGAAATTTGGGCACCCCAAACAACATCTAGGGACCTTCTTTGTCTTGAAAGTGTCCAAAGACGAGCGACCAAGTATATCCTTCAAGACTCGCCTCATCTTACACCAACCGTTTAAAGAAACTTAACCTACTGCCTATTTCATACTGGTTCGAAATAAAAGATATTACGTTTTTTTATAAATGCAAAGTTGGTTATTATGACTTAACACTTGAAGACTATATTCTAGACAATTCTACTAATCATCACACTCGCTTTAGCTCTACTGATTCATACCGACCAAACCGTTGCAGAATATCTTCTTTGCGAAACCTATTTTTCAATAGGATAGTGCCACTATGGAACAGCCTGCCAGGAGAAATAAAATCCTCTCTCTCTATTCAGTCACTGAAACTTAAACTCTATAATCACTACACTCAAAAAGTTAATGCATGTTTTGATGTTAATAGGCCAAGGACTTGGAAAACGTTTTGCACTAGCTAAATGTCGTTCTTGTTTTATGTCTTGTTCGTAGAAGTGCATGTCCTGAGTTTTTGTACGAATGTAATTATGTGTAAAACCGTAAATATGTAACTAGCTATGTATTTTGTTAATTTTATAGCCGTTTATAGTATAGTATAGCATATAGTATAGCGTAGTATTTTCATGTATGGCAGGACTTAATTTGGGACTGACTTTATTAGTCCTGTTGTCTGTGCCTTCATTTTCTTATTGCATGTAAAACTAATAACCCTCCGCCCCAAACCCCCCCCTCCCCCCCCAAAAAAAACAACGAGTACATTTCAAGCTACTAACTCTGACTTTTAAAGCTATGTATGGTTTTAAAGCTATGTATGTGCCTACTTATATATGCAAGCAAATTCAAGTAATGAAGCCGAGTTCGTATTCTTTACGCAGAAATAAGGATATCCTGCTTACGGTTTCTCATACGAAAACCAAAAAGACCTTTGGTGATAGGACCTTTGCTGTGGCAGCGCCGAAACTTTTTAACGACCTTCCTCGAGAAATTAGACATAGACGAATTTTAATAAATTGAAGGCGTTACTTAAGACATTGTTGTTTAGGATCGCTTATGCCTAACTTTACTTATTAACATTGATTTTATACATTGTACATATATATTTTAGTATACTGAACCCGTTGTAATTTACTCTTGTAATATAGGTTTTATATAAAATTCTATCTTTTGTAACGCGCATTTGATCGTATTCGAATGTAAATTTGCGCGCTATAAGTATTAAATTATTATTATTATTATTAAAGCTGTTCTCCCTGGAGGCCCTGAAATGTATACTAAGGTGATGCCAATGTAAGGTTGGGCATCTACACTCGATAGAACTAATTAGGCGTAAAAAAATACCTGTGGTTCCGGTTTCCCAGCCAACCCTATCTTTTTCTGCCTAGCCTATAGTTTTTTTCAACACGATTGGACGTGCTACCCTATTTTCTTGTGTGGTTGTGGGCTGCTCATACAGCATCCCAAAATGGTGTCTGTTGTCACACTAATTATCGAACCAAATTGCCTAAATTTGTCCAAAGGAAATACGCATCTCTAGTTAATATTGATGTCGGGACTCTACTGAAAATTGCCCAGCAAAAATCAGCAAAACTTTCTGACCGACCTACCCTAATTTTTTCACAGCTGTGAAACCGGAACAGTGACAGGTATTTTTTTTAGGCTTATTGACTGTTGAAGGTTTTTGTAGATGGAAATTTCGAGTGTGAATTTTATGCATTAATATTAGACCTAAGCCCCCCAAAAAATATGTGGGTTTGCGGTTTCCCGACCCTACCTGGCTTTTGGACGCCGAAATCCCGACCCTAAACTTTTTTATTGGATCATGCTTGTAAGTGTTTCCACTTAGAGGAAAACGTTTGTGAAAAATGGAAATTTGAGGCAATATTAGGGAAATTTATCATTGAATGTGGAAGCACTGACTAAACAAAATGGCGTCCGGTTGTTAGGAAAAAGTTAAAACCGACCTACCCTACCTAAGTTTTTACAAGAAGAAATAGGAAACCCACATTTTTTTTTCGCCTAACCAGAAGCAGTTTTGAAAAGTGAGTATATCTGTCTTCTGACAGGGCCACAGGTTCAATTCTGCCAGAAGGCCTATGTTATAGTTGCATTTTTTAATTGCTCCTGGTTAGGTCTAATAAATGTATAAAATTCAGACTCCAAATTTCCATCTTATGATCTACAAAACCGTTCAACAACCTAGCTATACAGTCAGGCTTTGCATGCAGTTATCTGGCTATACAATCAACTGGCAGTGTGGTCAGCATGACTACAGTAGGGCCATTTATACGGGCCAAAATAAGACGCGACTTACATAAGACGCGATTTAAATAAGACGCGAGTTTGTCGTATAAAAGGTACAAAATTCTTATGTAAGACGCGTCTTGGATAAGACGCGTCTTACATAAGAACAGGACTTTTAGCTGTTCTTATTTAAGTCGCGTCTTAAATAAGAAATTTTGGACAAAAATTCTGCACATGCCCGAAACTTGAAACAACGGAAAATTATTAGCCTTGCATATTAAAACAAAAACAACCGAAACAACATTATAGCTATAGCAAGTAAATAAGAATAAAGCCGTGGAGAACCATTTATGCGATAACTCCGCTTATATAAGTCGCGTCTTATGTAAGTCGCGTCTTATTTTGTCTCGTATAAATGGCCCTAGTATGTAATCATATTGCTATATATGCAGTCATCTAGTCAGGTAGTCTGTAGTAATATGGCTATGCAGTCATTCGGCCCATGTAAGGTAATCCAGGAATCCAGAATCCGACTTTTAATAGCTTTGCAATACGGAATCCAGACAGTCGAATCCAGAATCCAAACATCTGAGGAATCCGGAATCCTTATCCTGGGCCAATTTTCTGGAATCCGGAATCCATGACCAATCTAGAATCCGGAATCCAAGTTGTGGAATCCGGAATCCAAGGAGCAGAATCCGGAATCCAAAGAGAGGAATCCGGAATCCAAGGAGCAGAATCCGGAATCCAAAGAGAGGAATCCGGAATCCAAGGAGCAGAATCTGGAATCCAAAGAGAGGAATCCGGAATCCAAGGAGCAGAATCCAGAATCCAAAGAGAGGAATTCGAAATCCAAGGAGTGGATCCTGAATCCAAGGAGAGCATGGATTACCTTACATGGGCCAAAGTCATCTGGCTATGCAGTCATCTAATCTTGAACAGTTAGTACCAGTGTAGGTAGTGATGATATCAAACAGCAGTGATATGTTGGCGATTCAACTACCTGAAAAATACAAACATTTTCATGTGACATTTTGGGCAAATTAAGGGCTTCCCAAATGAAGTAACCTGAAGTTCAGGCCCTAATTTTAAATAGGCCTGAATTTCAGGTTACAAATGAAGTGCCTTTTCCAAAGAAGGGCATCGATCAAAACATCGAAAATCTGTTTGTATATATTAATACAATTTGTATATTAAGATACTGTAGTTCTCAAATATTGACTAGAGGTGCTTGTTGTCTTTTAATATTTTCCAGTAAAATAATAGTGAAAATGGGTATGATATGAGCTATATTTCAGAACCACCCTCAGAGATATGAAAATTGAACTACAGTAGTTTATATTGTTCTAGAACAATATTGAGCTATATCTTGCACTGAAATATGGCCTGCCTATAAATTTAATGGTGTCATTATGGTCCACATACTCCATGGTTACATGTAGAATAGAATAGAATATATTTGCTCACAAAAATATTTACAATGGGAATATAGTTAAAATACAATAATATAAAGGAGCTAGGGACCTTTTGAAATCCTGTTGGACTTTTGATATAAGGCCCCTGTATTGTTTTGAATAAAATAAAATACATAAATCTAAATTGGTTCAATATATATCATGTATGTTTTAGCTAACAATATTTATATTAACAAGTAATTTAATTTTGCTTTTTTCTTAAAGGAAAAATACGATTTTTGATTTTTAATTTCTTCATCAAGACAATTCCATATGGAAATTCCCTTGTTAAAAACAGTGTGAACACGATAGTTCGTCCTTTTATAACGAACGTGCAATTTTGAAGAGTTTCGCGTATTATAATTATAATTATGCAATTCTTTATTCTGAATAAAGTAATAATTGTAAAGGTTTGGCAAATTTTTATTATAATTCATGCAGCGATACATAAATAGACTGCAAAGATGATCATTAATTTTGTAGATATTTAAGATTTTAAGATTAAAAAATAAAGGTTCTGAATGATCTGTATAAGATTTAAAACACATTAGTCGGACAATTTTCTTTTGTATCTTTAATAACTTCTGTAATCTTGTTGGATATGTATTACCCCAACTAGATTTCCGTACGTAAGGTATGGATAGACCAATGCATAGTAAATCAATTTCAAAGTGTTTTTATTTGTATAATGTCTTAATTTAGCAATCATACCTGTAGATTTAGTTATGCTTTTTAAAACTGAGTTGATGTGGTTAGTCCATGTCAACTTCTGATCTAATGTGACACCTAAGAACTTTACGGAAGGCACCTGTTTAATTATATCATTATTTATTTTTATTGTTATCTGTGAATCCTGTGATTTATTTTTGCACTTAAAAATGACAATTTTTGTTTGGATGCATTGATTGATAATTTATTTGCATTGAGCCAATGAACTACCTTATCAAGTTCATTTTGTACAGTACTAGATAATGTTTGCAAGCACGAATTTGAATAGAAAGCATTGATTTGTATCATCAGCATATAAAACGAAAGAAAATAATATCACTACAGTTCTCAATGTCATTAATGTATAAAAGAAATAATAATGGACCAAGAATTGAACCCTGTGGGACTCCTGTAGTAACATCTTGTATCAAAGAACAAACTACTGGAAGACCCTCCATTTTGAAGGACCATTCTTCGACAAATCTGTTCAAGGGTTTCAGGTTGATAATTGGTCGATATTCTCCCTTGGACTGGACTTTCTCCACTAGAAATAGGGAGGAAATGAATTGATTCGCGGCTAGTTGAACCGCCTTCTTGAGAAGTGTCTGAATAGCAGTGTCCATTCGCTTCTGCTGAATGCTGGACCTGGTTGTTGTGATTCTTGGTCGCCACTGGCGAGGTGGGGACGTAAAAGGAATTTTGTAACCTACAACTGTCTGAAGAACCCAATTGTCCTCGATAATAGTTTTCCAATTGTCTAAAAAATGAACTAAACTGCTGGAAGGAGTATTTACACAATGGATATGTCTTAGGACTGGAAACGGATAGTCATAACTGACCGGGACCGTGGGAAGATGACTGATTTGGCGGATTGGAGGGGCGTGGACGCTTAGCCTGGGTATGGTTAAATCGAGAACGCGGCCATCCTCGTTTGGCTGGTTGTCGTGAGTTGGTATGGAAACCTTGACTGGTGTTGCTGCCACGAAAGGGCTGATACCTAGGTTGGTGGGCAGGACGACTAAACATAGCAGGTTTAGAAGTAGGGGTACTAATCACCTTATTAGTAGTGGTGGAGTGGTCATGCTCGATCATCCTTGATCTTCTCATGGAATTTATCTGGGAACAGATGCTTGTCAGTTGGAATCCCTTCCTTTAGAGTACGCTTTCCAATGTCGGTGAGAAATTCACTAAAGCGTCTCTGACGCCAATTGTTTAGCCTAACATGTGCATTCCCCAGCATAACCAGTGCATCCTCAAGGTAGTCCTTGATAGAGTCAGCAGGGTCCGGGCCATCTCCCTCATCGCCAGGATAATCCAAGGCCATTAGGGCCGCTAATAAAGGGCGGGTCACCATAACAAAGGGGGCTTGTTGTTCAGCCAAACCCTCATCGAAGGCCAAAACATCTTGGTTTTGAAATGGCCATGATGCTTACGCAAAGCTTCCTTCATACCAGCCTCTAATTTAGGGTCTATCAAAAAGGAATCAGTATCCTTTATGGTGGGATATGACTGGACTAGTTCGAGCCACTTTTCTCTTGAAAGGGCAGTCGAAAATGCTTTCCTGGAAAGCTCAATGAGATCATCAGTAATGGTAGTTGATGGATCTTTACTATAACATCTCTCACTTCTCAAAGGAGGTGGAGATGATTCAGGTGTGCCATCCCGTTCTTGTTGGGGAGCCTGGTTGACAATTTGTTGGGGTTGAAAACCCGTAGATGCCAGAAAGGAGGTGAGCATAATTGGCATATTCTTTGCCACAGTTTCAGCCACAATTTTCTCGATTTGCACTCGATTTATACTTTCCCCCTGATCTCCAATGCCCGCCTGGTGGATCGCGACATCTGGAGTAACGTTGCTCTACAAGGCAACAGAAATAGAAGGCGATCATTAACTCGTACCTTCAAGTAGGCAAACATGTGGCATATCCTATCTCGAAATACTGCGGATTCAGGTAGACCGTTTAATGCGAATAGTTGTCGCGTTAGTTTTAACAGTTGTACGATGACGTTTCTAGGCAGATTTTCGACGTTTCTAAGGCGTGGCTTCAACGTTTATTTTTAAAATTTGAACGTTGTAATTACAAGGTAATTGCTAAATAATATACTTCAAAATAAGGTTTCCGTTTTTATATCATTTTTTTAAATAAGTTAGGGTTAGGTAAGGGTTTAGTTTTGCGTTAGGATGATTTTTTCTACGTTATATAAACGAAAACCTTATTTTGAAGTATATTATTTAGCAATTACCTTGTAATTACAACGTTCAAATTTTAAAAATAAACGTTGAAGCCACGCCTTAGAAACGTCGAAAATCTGCCTAGAAACGTCATCGTACAACTGTTAAAACTAACGCGACAACTATTCGCATTAAACGGTCTCCCTGAATCCGCAGTATATGGCCTGAATAACGATTAAAACAATCAAATAAACACAGTTTAAACGTATAATCTACTTACATTTGACTGAGAATCATCAGCCATCTTTATTTATTTCAACTTGATGAATAATTCACGATTTTTGAGCCAAAAAACTACCCTGTGGTTGACCGAAGCGAGCCACGAAAAAAAGAGGATAAATGCGCATGCGTTGGCTTGATTTATATTCGTGGTACCCAGACCGCTCGCGCCGCGATCTGCACTAGTATTGTGAATATCAGTCGGAGAAGGAGTGAAGGAGAATTCAAGCAAATCTTCGGATTGTGCTTTGTCTTATATTTTTTGAAATTGTCGGCTGGCATTGGTTTAATTATAATATTTCAGGTTTTAGCGCAGTGGTTAATATGAACGTTTTACTGAGGTGTTTCGTGACAATGTACGTACAGGTAGTGATTTTCACATGTCCTGTAGCAGTAAATTATACAGTTGTACTAAGTTCTGCTATGATCAGGCATTCTTTCTCTCTGGCTCCTCCCACCTATTAATGCGCTCGGTTTATTTTAAGATTGAAAAATGGCTACAGCTGTTGTGCCTGGGTCCGGCGCTTCAACTTTGACCAGGAACATATCTGATGAAGAACGAAGATGGATGGTTATTGGTATATGTCTCAACAAAGTTCTGACACCTACACTAAGGGATGTCCTCAGTGTTGAAATACCTAAATGGCATCAGACCTTGGTTAAACCTCCTATAGAAATTGATAAACAAACGTTTGGAAAGTTTGTGAAAAACCTGCTGCCATCAACCATAAAGTTGAACTATGACAGTGTCAACAACAATGTTGTACACAAGTCTGCAAAGCTATATGATTATGCTGTAAAAGACCCTTTGTCTTTGGCGAAATTATTTGTGAAACCTTTCATGGCAAGTTTCACTGGTTTTGACCACACCATGGATACCTCTGCTGTTCTGTCAGTAATATGTGAAGCACAACCTTTCATTGCTTGTGGTGCTGCTGTTCATGCAAAGAAGATCAGGTCGGATATTAGAAATGAATGGGCACATTGCGATTTTTCACATTGGACCAAACCAATTTTCCAAACTGCTTTGAACGACATTGACTCCTTGGTCAGGACTCTAGGTTTGACAACAGTGGAAGAGAAAATTGTTCTTGATGAAATTGATAAGTGGAGGAACAATGGTAAGTATTGATAATGCACCCTGTTATTGTACTGTATATTTTATATAATCAGAGATTACAGGTTGATTTTAAGATTGAACCAGTGGGCTGTCTTTGATATGAACTGACGTTTGAGCTCATTTCTACTGTGTTTCCACACCAGGCGAGTTGAAAAGTTTGCTTGACCGCGGTGAGAATGGAACCCGCGATCTTTGGTTTGCTTCGGTTCGAATAGTTGATATTAGTATGTACCGTATGATCCTGAATGTAATGATTATGGTGTATGCATATAGTCACGTGAAATTATTGGAATTGATGCTACTCTGAGTGTATCCAGACTCGGCTTGCTTCAACTTTTCCTACTGTACACCGATTCTCACCACGGTCAAGCATATTTTCAGCTTGCTCTGTGTGGACACACTTACAGTAGCTGCACTCAAATGATTTCGCCTGAGTACATACACAGCAATCATTACATTTATAAACTGACCTTGGCACAGTGTAATTAACTTGAGTGTCTGAACGGATGCCCTCACCAGAAAATTTATAAAAGTCAAAGCCCGAAAACTGGAATTTTCCACCAGTAATTGTGCTTGAAATTTTCAGGTTTGTCGTCATAATATGCAGATATATTTTTGAAATATTCATAGTGACAACGAGATCAGGGGCGGATCTACCGTGAGGGTACAGCGGGTGCGCACCCCATATGATGGTGTCTAGCACCCCCTCCCCCCCCCCAGCATCACTCTAAAAAATCTGCTTCCATACATTTCTGCTTTTCGAATAGCGATTAGCGGAACTTCCATTTGTTAGCGCGCGTTTATTTTGCTGAAACGATTTAAAATTGATTTGTGAGCTCACGAGAAAATACTCAGAATGCTTTACCTAAATATTACTATTAAACATGTATACAGCTCGAGATTGATATACAGCCATATTTTCAAATATATTGTACTATAAGCAAATACTATTGTAAGCAAACTATATCCAGTCACGCATACTGTACGTGATAAAAAGCCGATATAAACTGTATAAAGAAAAAAATAATATAAAACGTAACAGTACGGCGAACATGCAGATTCGGCTATCTCAAAATAACGGCAATGTTGGGATAGCAGAGCTGACGACTGCAGAGGAGAGTGCGCAGTAAGGCTACGTGATGCCCCCCCCCCCCCCCCC